TTAACCCAGTGGTTCCCAACACTGGTCCCTGAGGAACACCATCCTGCATGTTTCAGTTGTTTCTTGTTCCAACACACCTGATTCAGCATTTAATTACTTCCTCATGTTCTGCAGAAACCTGTAAATCACCCATTTATTAAAATCAGGTGTGTCGGCGCAGAGAAACAACTAAAACATGCAGGATGGTGTTCCTCAAGGACCACGGTTGGGAACCCCTGAGTTACTGGTTTAAAAATACACTGAAAGAAGTTGAGTTTTGTGATGACAAGAAAAACAGGAAAATGTGGATTTTATCACATTATTAAACTAAATTACAGAAGGACATTTTTTTCTAATTTTGTGCAGCCCTATTTGCTATTGTATCATTGCAGATTGAAATAAAATTTGATGGTTATATTAGACTATTCCTTAATACTAATTGATTCTGTGGGTCATTATTTTCTGTAAGAACTGACTTAAACATGAGTTTTGCCATTGGAAATAAAACTGTTAATACGGATATGTTGAATATTAGCAATTATTAGAAAAAATAGAGAAAACAGAAAATATTTTTACTTTATAAACAATAAGTACTAGCTGCTTTAAGGTTACGGTCATGGATCAGTCAAATAAATCTGCACACATCTGGTCAACTAGTAGTTTTTAACATTTTTGGCCCCTTCTTTCAGCAATACGTGATCATTCATAGGTTGTTTATGCAGGTAAATAAGAATTCCCATGTTCAGCTAATAAACTTGTATATATTACAACATTTATTAACTGAATTCTGTCAACACTTCACAGATTTCTCTCCTGAACTGAGGCTAACAATCTGTCTGAATTATTCAGTGCACTAATTACGTCTCCCTGTGGGAATCTTCTAGTGCTGCCTGGATCTGAACAGTCGGGTCCTGAAGCTTCAGGGCTGCGGTGAGGACCTGCCCTTCTTGAACACTGTAATCGACGTCCAGTGCCAACATGACACCAACAAAAACCTGTGAGCAGAGTCCACGGCATCTTGGTGGCAGCAGCATGGAGCAATGCCACCTGGGTCTGAACTGTCCAATCAGTGTCTCTTACTGCCAGAACATGGAAGAGCATCGGCCTCTGTCAATCTCAAGTTTATATCTTTGTGTTAAATTTAGATATTGACCATGATTTTCACATATTCTAATTTAGTCTACCTCATTGGTTCCCAACACTGGTCCCTGAGGAACACCATCCTGCATGTTTCAGTAGTTTCCTGCTCCAACACACCTGATTCAATTATTTAATTACTTCCTCAAGTTCTGCAGAAGCTGGTTAATCACCGATTCATTCAAATTAGGTGAGTCAAATCAGGGAAACAAGTAAAACATGCTGGATGGTGTTCCTCAAGGACCACGGTTGGAAACCACTGAACAAAAATTCCAGTCCCTCTTTAGGTTATTATGCTGTGTATTCAAACATATCCCTCTGTGCTGCTGCTTGGGTACACCAATGACCCCTAAAATGGAAAACACTGATAATAATTTAAAGTGTATTTAAGTAGAACATGCTGTGATTTGACTGCAAACTTATGTTTGAAATACGAATTCTCTGAAAAGTCAACTGAACCCGTGTTTTCCCAGTTTAGTCAAAGTTTAAACATGGTTTTCAATTTAAAGCTTTAACAACAAGAAATATTAGACAGCACCATTAAAACCAAATATTCTGTAAAACGTTTAGATCGGCTTTTAACCACTGATGTTTGGAAACTAAAAGCTGCATTTTGGAAAAGCAAATCACTGCAGAAGGCAGATAAACTATCATGGTCACATATTGGTGAATAAGTACAAAATAAATAAAAAAAAACTACTAATGGATATTTACATTTCAGTTTGAATGAAACCAGTGTTTTTAAACCATTTTATTCTGTTTGGTTCATATAAGTTCATCAGATAAATGTATGGAACTACAATTCCAATGGCTTCAATTGTAGAGGATTTTCAAATGTTTCCATCTGAATCAAAACTATTCATTTGTTCATGATGTTTTTATGTATCCTTTTATTTTGCTTCAAAAATGCTCAGTATACAGTAAATGTTTCATTTAAGACTCATCATCACCATCATTAGCCACTTTAAATTTTCATAGCATTTAATAAACTTTGTTCACTGAATTCAAACTTCATCAACTAACATCTTAATGCAAATTAACAGTTCATAACGTCTAGCCAATTCTTTCAAACTTTTAATAATTAATTGTAGATTTTTTCCCCCCAGCACATTTCCCAATGACAATTTGAAAAACCTCAATTTTTATTACTATTTAAACTGCTTGATAATGACATTAATCCAGATATATTTCTCTCCTCTGTAGTATTACAGCTAGGCCTGTCACGATAACAAATTTTGCTGGGTGACTAATTGTCTCAGAAATTATTGCGATAAACAATAATATTGTTTGAAATTTGACAATAATTAGTAATTATTGTCAAATTTAAGAAGAAATGTTTGTTAATTTGTTTTGAATGTAGTACCTTTTTTGACCACCGGATGGCAATATAAGACTGTGAACCGAAGGATGGATAGTGAGGGAGCGAGCAGTGTGCCTCTTTAAGAAAAATGGGAGGGAGGCCCCTTGACGTGACATGGGCTGTCTCACTTTCCTTTATTCGGTTCTCAAAATGGCGGACGCTGGGTGTGGTTTGAGCTCGTTAGCATAGCATTTTTCACACAAAGCTTTTAATAAAAAATCAGTAAACAAGTTCTCAGCTTCTTTTTGTAGAGAAAAACAACCATTTACACGAAGGCACAGGTTTCAACCGTGAATTTTGGAGCTTCGACAAGACGGAGGTTTTTTCCCGAAGCCGGCCTGTTAGCTTAGCTCGTAGCTTAGCTTCTCAGTTTAGCTGCTTTTAACGATTCAAAAATGCAATTTTGGACGATTAAAATAGATTTTAAAGAGAAAAGAGAAAGGGAGAAGTCAGGGAAGAACACCGGAGTTGAGCTTTTTGTCATCCAGTGTCTTCAGAAAGAGAGACACGAAGAAATGATAAAGCCGATAAATGAAAATGAGGTTGATAATTTTCATTTATCATGTGATTGATTGATTTACTCTTTATTGCAACAGGCCTAATTACAGCAATATCCATTATGTTTAGTTATTCCGACGTTTATACTATATTTATCAACAGATAAAAAACACATTCAGCTCTTTACTTTGCTAATTGCTACTTTAACCAGTTCAAACATTAGTTAAGCAAATGAGTGGATGACTAACCCATTCAAACATGACCCTGTTCAGCTTTGACTTTAGGATGACATTGGGATGCACGATATTGGATTTTTGGCCGATATCCGATACGACGATATGTTACACGATATTGGATTTTTGGCCGATATCCGATACGACGATATGTTAAAACTTATTTGTCCGATAACCGATACCAATACCAATATTTCCCCCCCTAAACCTACTTACAGAGACTACATAGCTTTCTGTGCTGTGGAATTAAAATATTACATTATTCTGCATGGTCATGCCAGTTTGGCCTGCTACCAAATGCAGATGACAAAAAGAGGGCTGAAAATGATGCTTGGATTATATTTAATGTTAAAATTAGTCACTGGGTTGTAATACAAAAACAGCGCCTTTTATATATATATATGTGTGTGTGTGTGTGTGTGTGTGTGTGTGAAAACAGAGCCTTTTATATTGGTGAGTTATTTTGATGGAATGGCCGATATCTGATATTTAACTTTAACGCAACTATCAACCGATACGATACCATGCCGATAATATCGTGCATCCCTAGGATAACGTTTTAGACTGTTTGGTTTTATGTTGCTACCTTTTTTTCTAAGCTATCTTGCTTTTTGATGTTTATATTTGAAAATTATTATAGGTGCCTCCTAAACCATTTATTCTTTGTACCAGTAATTGGAAATCACTGGCTTAAATACATTTCTGACAATTTAATGTCTTTGTGGTGTTGTTAGGAAGACTGAGTATGTTTCTGCAGGACTATGTCACCCAGATTGTGTTTATCAGCAGACTGTTATGCGAAGTATTGTACATTTTTCCAGAATAATTAATTGTAAAAAAAAAGTATTTTAGAAAACGTCAACTTACTCAATAAACACGGTATCTTGTCTAGGATGTAAAAGAGCCTAAATGTATTTGAACTCAATGTGGACTTAGGTGTGGATTAGAAAAGCACAGATTTTTACTGCAAATTAAAAAGAGATCTGAGGAAAAACAATTATTTTGCTGGAATTTCCTAAACTTTTCAACGTTAATGACATTTAATTGAGTCAAAACTCAAGTTTTCAGTGACCCAGATTTTATAAAAGGTATTTTCCTACAACCGTCCTCAAATAGTTTAAATAGATTTCAGACCAGACAGCTAAATATGTCTGAGTCAGACTCAGAAACAGCAAAAACATGAAATCATTCCATCTGCATGTCAAATTTTGCCTTTGTAAAAGTCTGCATGTCGTGCACGAGTCAAACGGTCACGTAGGGGCTGGATGTGCTTTGTGTGCATGGTTGCATTACAAGTCAATGCAGGGTTTTCTTCCCTGTCTTAGCTCCTATTTCACATGGGAAAAAGAACGGTTCCTTATTTTCCCAACCCGAGCTCTGAACAAAGTAGTCTGCCAAAAGCCAACCCCAGCTGCCTTCCTTCTCTGCCTCTTTCAGGCGTTTTTAAGCTTTTGGTTGTGGCTCCATGCCAAGTTCTCCTCCTCACGTTTATTCTCATTGTCCATAGATTTGCTCTTTTTATGTACTCATCATCCTATATGTGTTGCTCATGTTGGCCTAAGTAGTTTGCAAATTTGTCTAGATTAAAAAGTATACAAAAAAAAAAAGTCCATGTAGCATCCATTATTGTGTGTTTGTTTTAAAGGTGCAGATCAGGAACTGCTTGCCCAAGGCCATCATGCTGTGCTTTAATAAAACCTGAGCCACAATGAGCTTTTAATTGTGCAGCACAGAACCCATGTAACTGGTTCCTGGACCCTCACAGAGACTGGCAATGCTAGTTTCTCTTTGATGTATTTGTGACCTTCCTATGCTGTGTGAAAGAAATCGATGTATTAAAAAAATTATTTTTGGTGTTTTTTCTTTTTCTGAGAAGTATTTTCTCTGCTCAATAAAATCTGTATTCTGGCTAGCTGCTTGTTTTAATGTGAAATGAACCAGCACAGAGGGAAGGGACATGGATTTGCAAACATTATTACATGAAATAGCAGCAGATTGGAACAAATTTTCTAGTGTCTGTGGAAAAATGACTAAGCAGACTGTTTGTGGGAGGGTTCCACATGCAGACAGCAACCCGTAACGATCAGTTCCCGAGTCAAACTATGTGCTCTTCACTGGCACATCCTTCTAAATAAAGAACAGAGAAGAAGATGTTCCCACAGCACCAGAGGCTTCAGCAGTCCACTGGTTAGATCAACAAATAATCCCACCTCTCAGCACAACCATTAAAGAAAACATTCCTTTTTTTATTTTTTACAATAAATTATAACAACTTACAACTAGTACAATGCAACATTTTTGTTTTGGAACGATCTTAAGCTATTTGAATTTTCTTTTAGCATAAAACATTGTTACTAAAATACATTGTTAAAATGTTAGTAGCTTATGGATGCACGATATTGGCTTTTTGGCCGATATCCAATATGCCAATATGTTAAAACTTATTTGGCCGATAATCGATACCAATACCAATATTTTATTTCCCTAGACCTACTTACAGAGACTACATAGCGTTCTCTGCTGTGGAATTTAAATACTACATTATTCTGCATGGTCTTTGTCAATTTGGCCTGCTACCAAATGCAGATGCCAAAAAGGGGACTGAAAATGATGTAACACTTCAATTTGGATTATGTTTAATGTCAAATTTATTCAGGACATTTACTCTCTAACCCAATGACAAAACTCGAACAGTGCAAAATTTGTAACTTTTCACAAATCTAAACTCAACGACATGCGTGATGTCATAATGTTGAGCTGGTGCTGCAGGCATCCTTGTCACTGGGTTGTCATACAAAAACAGTGCCTTACACACACACACACACACATATACAGTATATATACATATAT